GTAGTAGTCGTACCCCTTCGTCACCTCGTCGTGCCGAATCTCGCACAGCCCGGTGTGCACACCGACTCGCACGCGCAGGCCGTTCCAGCACTGCCGGTACACAGCAGCGTCCAGGCGCGCGGTCGGTGGAACGTTGTCCTCGTCCTCCCCAGCACGGTCCTCCTCGAACATGCGGTATGCGTCGTCGATCACGCTCGTCCCCCAGTCCTGCTGCAGAAACATCTGCTGCAGCTCCCGCACAAGCTGCACGGCGGCGAACACACTCCTGCACGCAATCATGAACGAGTCGCCAATCGTCTTCACCTCGTAGCAGCGGTACTTCGTGATCAGCGAGCGGATCAGCCGGTGGTGCGTTGCCAAGGCGTCGGGCATCGCCTCGGGGCACGCAGCCCACAGCGCCGTGCTGCTCTCGATGTCAGTAAACACAAGCGTCACGGGGTCTGTCCGCTCCTTCGGTGCGTTAGCGTTGTCACGCGAGTCGCGGCAGAAGTGCAGCAGCAATAGAATCAAGGCAATAAGCAGCAGGGCAGCAGCAACGCTGCCGACGATGACGCCGATCAGCTGCCGCGCCGTCAGTGCACTCGCAACGAGCATCCGGTACTCCATCGACGGCGTCACGGCAGGGGACAGCGCCGGCACAGCGGGGTTCAGCGCACGGGCAAGCGGCCACACAGAAATTTGCGTCGCACCGTAGTTACTGCCGCACTCAGCACCGCTCTCAGTAACAGGGCATGCATTGCCATCAATGAAGGGTCCGTACAGCATGTCGTCCACTCTGATGACAACGTTGGAAAAAAAGAAGTTTTCAAACAGCTCAACATTCACCTTCTCCATGCGCGAGCGGACGGTCACCAACAGCAGCCCGGTGGCGAAGCCCATTATTGCCAGCGGCGTCCGTTTATTGACATCCGGCACGGCAGCGTTAAACTTCTGGGCGGTCACCGACGTCGTTTTGTCGTCGTTCCAGTGCGGCAGGCTCGTTGCAAACACAACACGGTCGGCACCCGCACCGTCACGGAACGCAGCAACAAATTCGGGGTACAGCATCGAAAACTCTAAAAAAATGACAAACACGCGCACACCGTCGTGTGACACCACGTGCTGCGCGATCGCACCAACATCGTCGGCAGAAATGCCCACCACAAACACGTTGCCTTCCTCCGGCAGGTGGTCCACCAGCAATTCGCCGCCAGCCAGCAGCTTAGTGGACAGCAGCGAACCGCCAAACGTCTCCAGCGACAGCCGCAGCACCTCCGCCATCGTGGCTCCATCGTCGCTGCGAATCACAGCGTGCGCCGAACCGTCACTCTTTTTCCCGAGGTACTCCGCAATCACAAAGAACTGCTGCTCCAGCGTCGGCGACAGGCGGATCACGTTTTTCCTGAACCTACCAATACGCGGCTGAAGGTACATAGGATCGATGAACACCACATCCTCCACTTCCAGCATTTCCTTCGTCACCACGCCAGCAACAACATCAAGCAATTTCACCTTCAGTTCTGACACAAGCGCAGCGGCAGCCCCATCCACAGTAGAATTCACGAATTGCACTGTGAACGCAAAACGCTTAATAAGACTGTTGTTAACCACCGCAGCTCTCGCACCCACCACAGAAGCTCGAAGTGCAAAAACGGCAAGGGGATTATCCTGCATTGCAATTGCAACCCCGTTCAAAGGAGGAACAATCACTGCTTCCGAGGGGCTGCACTGCCATGTCCAGAATGAGATTTTTCCGTCAACCAGCGGGTCGGCACGGTAGCCATCCACAAACTTTTTCATGTACACGGTCCGGCCACCTTGGTTGCAGTAACAAATGGCACCCTCTGACTCAGCCACCCCTTGGCAACTGCCTCCGTAGTCGCCAATCACAAGGTTGTCGACCATATAACGGCGTTGGTTGAACAGAGACGCCAAGTACGCTTGACGGTTCTTTGCCCATTCACGACTACTTAACGTCTGTGAAAGTATCTCGCCCGCTATCCACCCTGCAACCATCATCTCGCCCTCAATATCATCGTCGGGGAAGTTCTTGCGGATACTACTGCTTTCCGGCAAAAAATTCCCCATAAAGCGCCGCATCACATCCTGAAAGCGCTGGATAGCGGCGTACTGAATATCCTTCGCCAGCGGGTTCGTCCCCGTCGTGATCACCTGCCCAGACACAAACTTAATACCACCAGCCACAGCAGCACGCCACGTTTCGACAGTGATGTCCTGCACCGCCGAGGGAGCAAGCAGGTAAGCGCCAGCGGTGCGATTGTCCGTCAGCATCCTCTGAATGAATTTCGCGGTGTCTTTTATCGGTGAGCCAAACACAATCACAGCCTGCGGCCGAGTATTCGCAAACGCTTCCCACGCAGCATCGAACACTGAGTTTTCGGCCTCATGAGTCAAGGAGCTCTTCACAGCGAAAACACCGCTCAAATTGTAGCCAAAACGCGTCATCACGTTTTTCGTTGCTTCGTACTCCTCATTACCGAAAGAAACACCCTCCAGATACATAAAGCCCAGCCGACGCACCCGCAGAAAAGTCAAGGCGTAGCGGATCAGTGCAAAAAGCTCGGCCAATGGATCAGCACGAACAAAGTACAGATAGGGATCCCACCCGCGTATCACCGTCGACCCGGTAAATGGGGCAAAAGAAATAAGTTTTCGATCCCTAATGACAGGCAAATAGTACCGCAAGGTCGTATCACCCATGGCAGCGGCAAGAATAAAAATATCAGAATTATTCTGAAAAGCCTCTTCAACGGCCTTGCCGGATTCAGCCATCGTGGTCGATTTATTGATGAGGGTCACACGTACATTCTCCCCAACAATGTAATTACGCGACCATAATGCCGCAACAAATCCGTAGTAAAGTGCTTCTGAAAGGTGTGCGTGAATTGGGAGATCCGTCACATTGAGGGTTAAAACTTTTACATTAATTTCAGGGCATGCGGCCTGCCCAACTCCGCTCTGCGGGAGAAGAAGCAGCAAAACGAGGTAGAGCGCATACGTGGAAAGTCGCCACCCCAAAAGTGGAATGCCACCACAACAGCCCGTTTTCTTATGCAAACCCGGCCTTTGCCGCGCCGCCGCCATCATCACCGCCCATCCCGTGACCATATTCGCCGCCCAATTATTACCGTGCTGCGTAGCCTGCTCTCTTCCTACAACATGGGGAGGAAAAAGAAAAAAAAATAGAAGGGAAGCAAGGCGAGAGGAATACCACACACAATAGAGGGAGATGCGGTTCAATGGGATCGGTGTTGGCGACAGTGACGCACGTCAGTGCTCTGCTACGCATTCTTCACGCCCCCATGGAAACACTCCACCCACTCGCCCACATTGCGGCCAGAAGTTAGTCACAAAAGACAAAGGCAAGGGCACCAATTCAACAGAACATTGGAATCCGCATCGGTGGAGCTGGAACACTCTACCTAAAGCTGAAGACAAAACAACAGAAGCGGCAGGGTAACATCTCATCTTATCTCACTGCAGTGCTTCTGGCTATACACATACGCACAAAAACAAAAACAAAAACAACAAAACAACAGAACACGGCTTCTGAGCCTAAATGGCAAACCTTTAAAAAAGAGGCGCTTCGGTGGGATCCGCAGAATCACTGGACCCTGCAGTAAGGTGAAAAATCCAAGGAAAAGGTGGCTGTCCAAAAGCAAAAGATAGATTTGAACACCTTCCTTCAATTAATTCAAGCACCAAATGTCGGTAAGAGAAGCCCACAAAATAAATAAAGAAATAAATAAGACATGGAGAGAATGTGTATAGGTTGGGTGGGCTCCCTCCTTTTCATGGGTTTCCAATAAAATTTCCTTAAATGTATGTGCATAAATTGACAAGACACGCTTCAGTGCAAACGCACAATCGATTTCCGACGTTTCCAATACCAAAATGAGAGGTCTGTGCTCCTTTTCGCTGCGCTTCTATTAATAGGAAAGAGCGAGGCCACCAAACAACCCCTCATTGCCCAGGAGGCAGGCCCACGAGAGAGTGGAATAGAATTGACGCAAAGTAACTTATAAATGCGGCACCCTTCCCACGACAGCATTCGCCTGGATGCCGTGTGGGAGATGTGTGTTCTTACCAAAAATGGCCTCGAGACGGAAAGAGGGCACACACAAAAAAAGAAAAAAAAGGTCAAAATTGATGCGCCCAGTACCATCAAAGGTAAACAGAGAAGTATCCCCCCACAAAGTGGATTGATGGCCAGTAAGCATTCCCGTTGCTCAAAATACAAATAAATAAATAAAATGGGAAGTAGTTAGGTCTCCTATTATGGCTGCATGCAACAAACAGGTTTCGAGATCCTTCCAACACCATTATTGTCACAACGCATCCCAAAATCTTTTGGAAACCCCGCCATCGCAAAAAAAGAAAATACGAGCCAAGGCCAGTGTGATGCGGATGCGAGGAAGATTCCGCTTCTCAGTTTCATTTTCCGTCTCGGTGCGCAGCAAATTCACAGATCCAGTTCAAACACACAAGGTACAGGGAAATTGAGTAGCGATGCAGACCCTCCAATGCAATGTCGCAAAAAAAAAAAAAAAAAAAAGCGCGGGAACGGAATCTTTTCACGGACGGACACATCTCGCAATAGCGACCCGAACGGCCTCCGCGGAAACGAAGCCCACGCCGGAAAGAACCCCAAAACCCGGCCGAAGAGCGCGAAAACCCGCCCACCGGCCTCGCCCCGCCGCCGCTCTCGCGCTTCCGCTCTCGCGCCCCCGCGGCTGACGCAAAATTATCTTCTGCAACGGAGCGCTGTAAGGGCGCAACTCCGGGGGGCCTTTTGGCCGGGTTCTTGGGGTGGAGGGCTTTTTCCATCTAGGGAGCGTCGCCCCCAAAAAAGGAGACGCGGGGAAGGGGGTGCGGCCAAAGAAGTTTATCTTCCATTTTTCTTACCTTTTTTCTTTTGTTTTGCAATTCTCATGCGGTTTTGCCGTTAAGCTTTTTTTTCTACGCCTTCTTTTTTTAGCAACACGAAAATAAAGGGGGTAATGGAGGTCTATTTGGATGCAACTGAGTGTTACTTGAAGAATTCACTCTGTTTTTACCCGAGTCTTAACATCTTTGTTTCTTGGAGTGTTCTTGTTGGGGCCCATGTTGGATATATTGTTTTGGTAATTATTCTAAGAAAATGGATGCAACGCCGGGCAGCTCTAAATATGAATAAAATAATGATGATCTACAATGTTACTCAGATTTATATTTCGGCTATCATGGCAATTTCTCTTGCACCACATCTTAAAAAGGGTTTATTCAATCTTAACGGTCGTTTTTCCGCTAATATTGAATTTTGGATATTCGTTCATTACTGTAGCAAGTTTTTGGACATGTTTGATACAGTATTAATGATTTTTAGAAAAAAGAATGAACAACTCTCATTTCTTCACATTTATCATCACGCCACAATTGGGTTTATCTGGGGCCTTCTTTTAAGGAACGGCATTGGTAATGGGACCGCTTTCTTTGGAGCATGGGTGAATTCAGCCGTTCACTTCTTAATGTATTCCCATTATCTATGGACATCTTTGGGTTTTAGAAATCCCTTAAAATCTATTCTTACTAAGATCCAAATGTTTCAATTTTTCTTGTGTATTGTGCAGGCCTCGTTGGCTCCTTTTTTTGACAATCAGTTTGCCTTACAGTGGTCTTTTCTCCAACTAACATACCATATAACTTTGTTTATCCTTTTCCTAGACTTTCATAGGAAATCGGGGAAGAAAAAGGGGTTACGGAATTTGAAGCAAACGGAGTAGTTATTTCTGATGAAAAAGGCTTAATAAATTTCTTTTTTTATTCTTTACGCACATATTTGTGGGCGTAGGGAGCTTTTGGAAATGATGTCCGCAGGGAAGTTTGGCTGCCTAAATTAGTATGTATTGCGATAAGATGTTTCTGTATGTTTATTTCCCTTTTTATGATTTTTTGTTGGACCAGGATGGAAGGAATCAGGGAACCGATAGTGGTAAGAGAAAATTATTTATTTATTTTTGACGTCTCACTCACCTCCTTTCGTTCCCCTTCTTGCAGCGGGGTCCTGCGGCTGGAAGATCTTAAATTCTGCCAGTTTGTAATTAATAATTATCTCCAATTTGAATAGAGTCCAACATGCCATGCGAGTGGATATCGAATTATATATATATATTGGAGCAAGCTTTGAGTGTGTAGCGAAGCCGTGGCCTTTAAAATACCCTCTTCTTGTTTGCCCCATTTTATTTAGCTATTTAATTTCAGTATCCGTCCGGTATCATGGGCGAATATTCTTTAAGGAAGTAATGAGGAAAATAATATTTTTTAACATGTTCATTTGTGGAAGATTTGCTTTACAAAAGCAACTGTCTTTTATAATCTTTTTTTTTTTTCCTTTCTGAATTGTTAGTTGTTTATCGTTTGTGCTATGGATTCCCCTGCAAAGGGCGACGCCCGTCAGGGTTTAAAGGGAAGTCAGAAACACATAGAATTCCAGTTGCAACGTGAAAAGGCCTACACCCGTGAGCTTCAAGACAAGATCAAGTCACAGCAAGCTCACATAGCCAAACTTGACCAAGATAAAGCGGAGCTAAGACGTGAGCTCATCACGCTCACTGACGACGAGAAGAAGAAAACGAAACTGGAGGAAAAATGTCATGCGTTGCAAAAGGAACTTGCAGAAAAGCAGGCCGCATTGATAGTAGAACAAAAACGGGTCACATCCGCCGAGTGCGAAAAGGAGCAAATCCGGCGTGATGCCCACGCTTCCATAGCAAAATGGTGTGAGGCTGAGAAACAATGGATTGCTGAGAACGAGGCCCTCCAAAAAGAATTAGACGATGCAAAAGAGACCCTTGTAAAGTTAAAGGGCGAATCTGAAGCACTGGCAAACAGTCGCGATGATATATTGAAACAATTACAACGTGAAAAAGAGCGTTCTGCACGGCTAGAGTCCACTGCTGCCGTAACTGAGAAGAAGATAGCTTCTTTGCATTCTCGTATTGAGTCATTACAGAATGATATATATACACGTGATGAAACCGTCTTTAAGTTGGATGAAGCTGGCAATAAATGGCAAGAGATATGCCACTCAAAGGACGATGAAATTAGATCTTTGGAAGTACAGAATAAAAAGCTGTCGGATAATATTGAACAACTTCAAACCACCATTTCTACGCTTAACCAACGCATTGAGGCCATCAAGTTGCTAGGTATGGAAGAGAAGGGGAGAACCGAGAAGATTTTATGTGATCTGCGTGAGTTTGAACAAGAAAACAAACTTCTTCAAATGGAGTTGGAAGCAGTTCGTCGTGATCTTGAACATGCCTCACAAAATGCATCTAAGCAACAGGAAATGATAACAGATCTGCGTGCAAAGCTAGCGGCATCAGCCGAGCAATTAAAAGAAAAGAACTCTGAAATACGAAAGCAGGAACTAACTATTAGTCAACTCACAGCAGATTTTAAGCAGGCAGAGCGAGAAAGAACTGATAATAGTTATTTGGCGAGTTCTCTACAAAATGAGCTACAGAGTCTACGCAATGCATTTGAAGAGGCACAATCTTTGGTAAAATCCCTTCAGGAAGAGAAGGCATTAATTGAAGTTGAATTGCAACGGGCGAAATTATCACATGAAGCAAAGGATGAAGCAGTTGTAATTATGAAATCTGAACTTGAAGATAGGATCGAGGGTCTTTTTCTCGATATCAAAAATCTTGAGTCAGAGGTAATTGCAAGACAAGAAATGATCAACAACATAACAAAACAGTTGGGTGACGCGAATACCAAGAATGAAAAGCTTCATGGAAAGGTTCTACAAGGCTCTGACCTTTTAACACAGCTTCGCAATAAACTTGAGGAACTACAGAAAGAGATAAATAAAAATCGTTTTGAAAATTTTTTTCACGAGGAAGCCATGGCCAGGTCCAAGGTACAGGAACAATACTTTGGAGGTATGCAGGATATTATTTTGCTGCTCAGTGGGGAGAATGGCGCCTTATTGACACGATACTTTAATGAAATCTGTCGATTAGATAACGTTACCCGGGTATTGGATGCTGAAAAGGTCGCCGCAGGGCAAAAATCAGATAAAATGAAGGTTAATCTTGAAGAAGAACTCCAAAGGCTGAAAGAGCGTGAAATAAAACAAACTCATGCAATCGAAACAAGAAATGTTGAGATTGCAGCACTTCAAGAAAAGGTAGGAAAACATGAGGAAAGCCTCATATTGTTGAGGAGTGAAGTTGAGGCACAGCGCAAGCGGTGTGAAGAATTTAAAAATATGAACACGTTGCTATCCGATAAGATTGTTGACGCGGAGAATCTTCTACAAGAAATGTCAACTGCCTCCGAGAAGCAGATTTATTTTTCACACTATTTCACAAGACAGCTTGATGACACCGCAGGGTTACTGATGTTTTTTTCTGAGCATTATGTGAATTGGATATTTAAAAAAGTGAATATTGTTGTCATGGAATTTGATAAGGCCTATGCTAAAGAAAACGAGAGGGTTTTAGATGCCCTGAATCATTTAAGGAAAGTACAGGAAGAAACCAAGGAAAGATATACAAATCTTCAAATGAAGTTAAACGATGCAGAGTTTCGTCTGGGAGAAAGAGAGAAGGCTTCCGTTGAGAAATTTGAGAACTTCCTATCCGAAATCCGTCTTATTGAAAAACAAAGAGACGTTGCAGAGAAAATGAAGAAGGATATATTGCGGAAATTGGATTCTGTGAACGATCAACACCTTGCCGAGATAAATAAAAAAGATGAACAGATACATGAACTTCTTGTGAATTTGGATGCCGAAAAGCACAAAATTCAAACTGTTGAAACAAAGTTTCAGAAGCTTCAGAAAAAATTTGATTACGAAGTTGAACGAAAGAAGGAGTATAAACGGGCCTTGGAAGAGGTGAAGGCGAAGCGTGAGGAGGCAGAGAGATATCGAGCAACTGAAAAGGATTGGGCAATGAAGGCTATTCACCGCGCAAATGAGGAAGTGAACTATTGGGTAAGAAGCTTTGAGAAGCTGAAATCTATGTTGGACGAAATATCCAGGAGATCAGGTACACAAGTCTCTGCTGTTGATCAAGCGATGATTAATAGCTTTGAGGAGGCAAAGAAAAGAATTGTACTACGCGATCAAGTGGTTAACATCGTTTCTTCCGAGGAAGAAATTCACAAGGGGAAACGCAGCAGAATAGAATAGAAGATTTGTTTTTATTGTTAATACCTTATTACATTTTTTTTTTTTTTTTTTTTTTTTTTTTTTTAAGAAGCTGGTACAATTTTCTTTTAGACTAGATACCAGAATAGATCTAGATATTATCCTCCCTGTTACATGGATTTCAGTTGCGTGTGGTTGAAGGCAATAAATGAAGAACCCTTTTATAATGTGCAAATTGGTTTGATTTCTTTTTCCTTGGCGAAGGTATCTTTTAGCTCACCTTCTGTCGTTTTTGTTGTTTACTGGGATTGCGGTGATTTTTTTTTTATTTGTTGATCTTATCTTTGATTTATTTAGTGATGTTACGTATGGTGAAAATTTATTATCGTGCCAGAATTATAGCGTTTAATCCATGGAAAAGTAGACCTTCTGGGCTAAATCTCAATGGACGTCCACAGATGGTGAATCCTAGTTATTTTAAGGGCGCTTACAGACGTCAAAATCCAGATGATCCCACACGTCTTCTCAAGATAAGGCATGTTCTTTTAAAGCGCTGCCGTTTGTGTAAGCGAACGCTTTTTGTGCCTCTTAGTCAAAAAGACCATTTTCACACCTGTTGTGAGGGGGTTCCCATGAAGGTCTATGCAAATATGGAAACCGTGATGAACTCGGAATATAAACTTTTGGCCCACTCCAGGCAGTGGGATGTTGAAAGTGATCGTCCATGGTGCAATTCACATAAACCACGACCTAAAGGCAGATCCAAGTTCAAAAAATAGCGGATCGATCCGTTGTTGTTGTTGTTGTTTTTCTATTATTTGTACAGTTGTGATCTTTGATGGGCCATTCCGCTTAATGCCGATTATTTTTATGTGAAAGAATAGATTCGAGTTGTTGTTGTTTTGCGTGTATGTGTCTGTTTGTTTATTTGTTTGTGGTTGAGAGTTTTTTTTGTTTTTTTTTTTTGGTTAGACTTTATACGCGTATTCAGTTCTGTTTCTTTTTCTTGGTTAGTTCTCGTAAGTACTGTCGTTGTAGAAGAAAATGGGCTGGTTTTCCTGGTTTTGGGACATGATGTCCTACCTTGGATTCAGCAACAAAACAGGAAAGATTTTATTTCTTGGACTTGACAATGCTGGAAAGACAACACTACTTGGAAAACTTGCCACTGATCAAGTCCATGTCCACAGGCCCACATTTCACCCGAACGTGGAGGAGCTCACACTGGGTGGTATCAAACTAAAGACAATCGATATGGGGGGGCACTTGGAAGCTCGTCGTCTTTGGAAAGATTACTTTACGAAGGTTGATGGCGTTGTTTTTATTGTGGATGCGGCCAACCCTGAACGGTTCCAAGAGGCAAAACAAGAACTGGATATGCTGTTACAAACAGAGGAGCTTGCAAGAACACCCTTCATAATCCTTGGGAATAAGATTGATATGCCACGTGCTGTGTCGGAGGAGCATCTCATTGCCGCTATGGGTCTTACAGGGCTATCCACCGGTAAGCAAAATAAGGTAACAGATCCTGCTGTTCGCCCTCTTGAAGTATTTATGTGCAGCGTTGTTAAGAAGATTGGCTACGGTGACGGCTTCCGCTGGCTTTCGCAATACTTGCAAAATTCATAGGCGGTTATATTAAGTATGAGGATGTTTGCTTATATAAATCTTGTTTCTTTACAAAGTCAAAGAAAGGAAAACGAAAGGAGGAGAAAAAAAAGAGATAAAAAAAAAAGCAAGTGAAAGGGGGATGTTTGGAGAAACTCTTTGATTTATTTGATTCCCTTATGGATGTATATATAAATAAAAATATATGTTCTTTGTTTTGTTTTGTTTTGTTTTTTTTCTGTTGTGTAGCCTCTTCTTTTCCTATGGCGGTTGCTTTTGGATTTTTGCATCGGTTTCAATCTCCGTATAGTGTCCCGAAATATATTAAATTATTAACATACAGTTTTTTTGTTTGCTTGTTTGTTTTGTGATGCGGCAATAGATACATAGATACATACATTCAGATGATGTCAGAAGACAGCAAAAATGAAGATTTGGAGAAAAAAGTTATTTCGTTTTTCTCCTCTGTGGGTGGGGTTTCTCCATCCAAGTGCCTCTCCACGATGAACACCAGTTTGGAAACTGTACTTGAAAGAATTGAGGCGGGTTTTTTGTTTGAATCCTTGGCGATGGATGTTCGGGAGTTGTGTATAGAAGTTAATAGACTAGCTGATTATATAGAGTCAAGTGGTGTCTGCTGCTCAGCTGAAACCTATAGGCTACTGCTTACTACCCTGTCTCGTTTACGCACAGCTGTGACGCAAGTGCAGGGGTACAGCAACAAGAGGCGCGAGCATACGGTCGCCTCATTTCACGCTTACAGGATACAAACACCTCGTCTTCCTGAGGACCTTTATCTGACCTTCCCATGCTCCCTTTGAGAGAGATAGAGAGGAGGAAGAAGTGCTATCATAGATACAACTCTGAAGGTGGTATTTGTTGTTGTTTGTTTGTTTATTTGGAAGGGAAGTGAAGTCTTTTCTCACAATTTTCGTTTTCCCTCTTTATGCATGTTTTGTAACATTACATTTCATTTGATCCCTGTTATTTCATCCACATATTTTATTATTATTATGGCTGATGAGCACATCTCAAGGACGGGGTATCATCCAGTCAGGCAGCAATGCCTCCAAAGAAAGGGAAGAAGAAGGGAGGAAAGAAGAAAGAGAGCGCTGAGGCACTTCGCCTGAAGCAGCTGTATGCACTGGAGAGTGAGGCGGAGGAACTTCAAAAGCGTGAAAATGACCGCCGTGATCGAGAAGAACAGGAGGAGCGTCTCATTTTGTGGAAGGAGGA